AGAATTGTTCAGCCTACCGCTCCTAGGTGAAGATCAGGCTGGTTATGTGGCTTGGATTTCAGTTACGTACAGGATTTCCTTGACTTTGTGGGCTCTATAGTGTGGCACGCTTCTCCTCAGCTGGCAGGCCGACAGGTTTTCTCTTCTTTGTGTAGCTTAGAGAAAAAGACCGTTGTTTACCAAGTAAAATTAGAATGTCTTGGGGTGCATGGGATTTTGCTTTTCCTGTAAAGTCTTCTGGAGAGACTGCTGTTGGAAAGGAGTTGGATCATCTTAAATTCAAGATTCTTTGAATAGTGCTAAATGCTTTGCTACTCCATTCGGAAAGATTATAAGCTGCCGTGCTGACTGGCTGTGATATTCATTAGAGAACTTTCTGGGAAAATACAGTCAGCAAGAGACAAAGGTTTAGCAGTATCATTTGAGTGCTGTTAGGGAGTGTTGAACAGCATTGTCTTTCTGTCACCATCTTCCGAGGATCTCATACAACTATGGGGAATTCTGGCCTTCTCGATCGGAGCCAGCTGGAGAATGGGCCTGCGGCAGGGTGTAAAGGGACAGAGGTTCTCCTGAAGTGGTTTTTATAATAAATGTAGCTATGTAATCACTTGGTTAACTTGTTATTCAACCAGTGCAGAGCAGTCTTTGGCCTTAAATCCAGCTTAGCATGTTGATAGGTTTCGGTTGCATAGTGCTACCAGCGAGATGACTCTCATTTGACATATTCAGCCATTTGGAAACTTACTTTATGTTCAGAAACTTAATTTATGTTCACCAGGAATGTTAGAGTATGCGGCTATTTGAAAAAATAAAATAGGGATTTGGACTCAGAAAAAGAAAAGAATCTGGTTGTCTTCTGGCAAGTTTTTTTGGTTCTGGTTATCTGCAAAGTCTACACCTCTTGTCAGTATAAATAGGGAGTGCCTGTATAAACATTCTTGTTTCGCCTGTTCCACATAATAGTTTCTTGTATCATATTTCTTTTGACCTCGCTATCTGAAACCAATTACAGGAGATCCATTTGGGCTGCATCTATTTTCATAAGAAGCCCAGGCAGCAGTGTTTTTCTCAGAGATGAATATCAACATCAAATATGCTTCTGAGTGCTTTGTTATTTATGTTTCAGAGAGATTTTGTAGCCTTCAGCTCTCAAGAATGTGTCATGCTGTGCTGTTTATACATTGACGATATTAATGGGCGTAGATGTCATTTTTCATTTTAACGTCTCAAATGCAACAGGCTGATAGGTTAAACATTCCTGTTTTTAAAGGAAAGATATAAGTGACATCTGTTTCCTAAAAAGACACATATATTTACTTTTTAAAAAACAAAGTAATAAGTTCACCATCTTTTAGTGGCAGCTTTCACTTTATTAAAATGATAAAACTTTAAAAATTATTTTAAGGCATGCTTAAATTAAATACAAGGGTTTGTAATACAAAATAAAAGCAAGTTGTATCTCATAGTGTTATCGCCAACAAATTGCAAAATCTACCGCAATTTATCAACTTTAATAGGGTGAGTTATATGCAATTAATTTCATTTTTGTTCTACTTACATTTTAGCTATGCCAAAGCTGCACAGTAAATATTAAGAAGTAGTGTTCCCAATAAAATTTTACTAGAAGACACAGTGAGTTCTGGAAACCATATGCCCAAATTTCCGGCTTATACAGCCATTACTTAAAGCATAATAATGATTTTCATTTGCATTATTAAAATAATTTCTAATCCTCGGTTCCTTTTATTGCTTTTGTCTGCATTGACTTTTTTGTATAGTTTTACTAATTTAGATAACTTAATTAAGGAAAAATGCCTACTAAATTTGAAACAAATGTTATTGGAAACTGGATACGATTTTGACTGCCTTAGAATCCGTTCTTGCTGCTGTTAACTTGAAGTAGGACTCAACATAATTTTGATCTGCCAGATTTATAAACGTCTGTTAGTTTGTCTTCATCAAACTGTTTTTAGACCACGAGTTATTATCAAATTAGTTCACAGAAATTTATAAATGATACGTGGGATGGCTGTTTACCTGAAGTGTACATGTTAAACTATGAATTTTGAAAGATACTTTCAAGTTGTCAGTTTTTTTTGCAAAGATTTAATAGCAGCAAATGAATTGGTAGAACTGAATGTTTTATAGTCTCATAATCTTCACTTATGAATAATGTCAGTAATAATCCTTTGAAATTAACAGTGTGTTTCTGGGGGGTTGTTTACTGAGTAGCAAAATCTAAAGTTAAGCAGCACACTGGGAGGAAAAAGTACCATATGACAACTGCTGTAAGAACAAAGGCTGACAGCGATTTCTACTTATGAGTTTTAAATCATCTCTGATCTCTTGAAATTGTTTTCTGTTCTTCTTCTATCTCTTGTGTTTACAATAATCTAAACTGCCACAATAAGATCACTGAAGTATTCAGGTAGTCATCATTTATAAGACATTCTGTATTAAAAGATGAGCCTTTACTCCTTTAAAGATATCCCAACCAGCACATATGAATCAAAATAGTTTAAGTAGTAGAGCCTTTTATGCAAACATATCCTGTTGTGCTGCCTTGCTTTTTCATAAAGTGTGACTCTTTTTGTAGTTAGCGGTAGGAAGTCATGCTTTCTTAGGCTGATTCCGCGGGAGTATGCTAGCCACAATTTGAAATTATACTGTGTAGCTTAAATCTAAGCTGCAGCATACTATAAGTCTCTGATTTTCAAGTACTGTAAATGTACAGCTTTACCAGATGCTTGCTTGCTTGTTGTATTGTATTGACGTGAGATGACTTTGCTGCTAAGGAAGATTATAGGACACTGAAACAACTTGCCGAGCGTTCCAGTTATTTGCAAGTGTACACCAGCATTGTATCATTACAATTTCTTTTCCAGATAAAGGCCGTGTAATGAATTTTCTGTGACCGCCACAAATAAAAAATAATTATCTTTATGGTTTTTCCCATTTTCTGTAACTCCAGATCTCTTCTCTGGTTCTTGTAGCAGTATCACCCCGAGCGGTGAGGTTGGTTGTCCGGTACAGTCTCCCATGAATTCAGGAGTGCAATAGTTCTCTCACTTCTATTCAAGTTTCCCTTTCGGAGAGCTCTAAAGATTGGGAAGGATTATAAATTCGCCATAGATCTTCTGTTCATGCATTTAATCCGTGTTTTGTGCTTAAACCACCGCAAGATGTTGGGACCAAATCCTGGTGTCCCTGAAATCAACAGATATATTTATCTCTGATCTCAGACAGAGCAGGATTGTCTTTTAGGATCTGCTGAAGAACTGTGAGTGCAGAAGAGATTATGCTATTCACATAGGAAACAGGGCATCCAGTGGTTCCTTGGTAACAAAATATTTCAAGTGCACTTTGAAATATGTTAACTTTTATTTATTTTTGGTGGAGAGAAGCTAGTTCTGTGCGTCTCGTTGCTTAGGTTCAGAGGAATGTATAGGCTTTGTAAAGCTGACCTGTAATTACTTGAGAATTTGATGAAACAATACAGGGATTGTTGTGGGAATGTCTCCAAATGTTAAAAGTCTGCTCTGCAAACTTTGTACTAGAGCCTTCTATGGGGAGACGAATCAATGTTGTTAGGAGATGGTGCTAGTGCATTCAGTTTGTTTACTTTGGTTTTCTGTGTCTGCCTGCCTTCTCAGAAAACTTGCTTGGAGCCAGACTGTAGCAGCCCTCTCTCTGTCTTTTCATAATTGATCAGGGGATGACTGCCTTCCCTGAGGGTTAAGACGTGGCAACTTTTTCTGTTTGCTCAGCATCTCAATGCAGTAGTTCAAACATTGTTCACACCAGCTGGCAGTGTAATGCCATATGCACATCTTGTCAAAGCAACTGTTGTCATGGATACTAGAAACTATCTTAAAAACCAGCTCATTTGAGTCTAATCAAAATTGTACCTTTCTTTATCAGTTGAGAATCTTTATTATTTTAGGGAACATTGATCAAATGGCATTTATTGCAGTATATTCCATCTACAGTATGTTTTAATAACATAGATAACTGTGATGTATTTTAAAGCTGTAACTGCTATTTACTGAACTGATTTTTTCAAGGGGGGGGAGAAGAGTTCTCCAGGTAGTTTCAGTGGAAATGGTTTGAATCGGGGGTTTTTAAATTTCTTAATAAATACCACTTTGTAACACTTGGCATTTTAAAAATAATTTTATAGGGAAAAATAATTTTGATTAGCCTTCTTCGGGTAAGTAGAATGTTTGTTTACGTTCCATATGTTTAACTGTGTTTTGCTGAGTTGGAATGAAAACATTAAATAAATGAAAACATTTTCTATTTTGATTGGGATACTGTCATCCCAGAGCCTGATCTGGTTGGTTGAGTAGTAATTTCTTTGTTCTCTGATTTTCCTAAGAATGCAAATGAAAACCACTCATTTTTATTTGGCATTAAAACTGCACTTTATTTTGTCAAAGGAGAGGTTTCTCCTTGAATTGTAAGTACAAAAAGTGTTTTTAATCTTCAATGAATATCCTTATTAATTCACTTTCAAGATAATCTGATGTTGATTTGTCAAATTTAATTACAGCTTCCGGTAACACTTGAAGTCTACTTGCTTTTGCTTCAAAATTCTAATATGAAAATGCAAATTGAATGATAATTTGCAAGGGAGTGGGCATTTTAGTTGAACACTCAAAGACAAGTTCCTTGTGGAAATGAGGCTATTGATGCAGTTTATGATTTTTCCTCTTCAAGCACTTTAAACAAATTAACTTTATTTCCTGCAGGATTTCATGTACATCCATAAATTCTAGTGAAGTCCTATATATGTACTTTCCGATGATTTTTTTTATGTTTTAAGTAAAAAACAAACTGAAGTCTGAAATCTAGCAAATACAAGTCAAATAGGAGACTGCACGATTGGACTTTAACCTAACATTAGCAATGAGTAACTCATCTCTTTCTAAGAACTGGTGGAAATTACTTACTTTTTTTTTTTTTTACTTGTAGGCACTCCAGGCAGCAAGGCAGCTGCTTTTACAGCAACAGACAAGTGCACTGAAATCTCCTAAGGGCAGTGATAAACAGAGACCACTGCAGGTTAGTAAAGTATCCTTGCTCTCAGGGAAGAGCTCTGTGCTTGCTCACACGTGAGGTGTGTGGGTGGGTGCCTGTGCTCTAATGCTGTGTATGTGCATATTCACATACAAGAGGTTACAGGCTTGCATGCTGGTGACTTCTCATTCACAGAGAAAATTCACTGTAAGCTACAAAAGCCTTTTGTGGCTATAGATGCTTAAAAAGGTCTAAGACTTAAGTCTGAGTTCAGTAGCTATGGTATAAATTAATTCTTTATAGACGTTGCAAAATTGATATGTGATTTTTATACCTACATGGATTAAATTGTAAAAACGGCTGTGTTAAGACAAAGAGTAAAACAGTATCCAGAAAAAAAAAAAAGCTAAATAACTCATTGGTACTATATCTAAGTGACAAACAGAGAAGTGTTCAGAAACTACCAACACAACTGCATGAAATTACGAAAGAGCTGCTTCTGCCATTTTAGAAAAGCATATGTCATGGAGTTTCACACTGGAATGCTGTTGGGCTTCAGATTGTGTTTGGGTGAATAGGAGTTCTGTAATTGGATAATTATTTTAAATGCATTATTAGTAAAACTATATATAGCATTTTATACTTGAAAAAGTTTATCTGGTTTTTTTTTTGGTTGGTTTTTTTTTTTTTTTTTTTTTTTGAGGTTTTAGTTCTTTTGTTGCTAATTCAGGGTTCCATATGAAACTGCGTTCTGTTGACAGAACTGGTTCTCTCATTGTATATAGACCAAATATGAGTGTTTGACTGCTGAATTACAGTCTGTTGCAGACAAAAGATGTACGAGAGATGATTTTATTTTGTTCACGAAATAAAAAAGTATAAACTGCTACCATTCTCTTCCTCACATCTATTTTTCTGGGTGAGCCTTTATCCTCTTGGGACTTCCCCTGTTTTCTGATGGAATAGGGCATTTTTATCTCATTTTTAGTTTTTGTCGTGCATAATGGAGGACCCCAGGCATCAGAATTTATCTTTTTCTCCACCAGTGAAATGTTGTGAAATTTGATCACTTGTGCAGTTTTTGTATGTAATTCACATTGTCTCCTTTTCTTTGTGAAACTTCATGGAGCAATGTTGGACATTCCACATCAGCTTCCTTCAAATATACTTTTAAAGTTGTATTTATTTGCTCAGAACCAAGCAAGAACTTAGGGAAATGACTAAAGAAAATGGAAAAAAAGAAAATGTGTCAAGTTGGCATCCTGCCATGCTGTAGTTGTAGTCCAGTCCAGAGGCGTAGGAATCCTGGGACCATCTCAACTTTCCACTCTTCGCCCTTGACTTTGCTTTGTATTAAATATCTTCTAGGCTGAAGGCACCCAGGAGTAGTAATCGTAAAGGCAGCAGCTTATGAACTACGTAGTCTTTTAAAGTTTTTAGAAGTGGAATTGGTGATCTTGAAGGGTTGAATCACAGAGATGATTGATTTAATGAATACTGTGAAAGTAGTTTATTGTGACAGCTTCTCATTCTGAAAGATAACATGGGCTGTACTAGGAGTGTACAAGGTCCAGACGCTAAGGGAAGTATATGAAACAGGCAAAAATAGTGGTATTTTTCCAGTATGTGTTTCCCAGTGAACTTAGCTTAATTTAATCCTCCAACTTGTAAACAGGAGCAGTTCAGGAGCTACTGACTTCTCTGTTCACATTCTCCACTCATTCGTAAACCTTCTTTTTACGGCTGAAGAGATGTGGGGGTGCACTATTTGTGATAGACATCAGTGAAAGGAGAGAAAACCATATTTAGAGACAAAGACAGTCATACACATAACCCAGAGGATGATGAGGTGAGGAGGAGGAGTCTTGTGCTTTCCTACTCCCAAAGCACTAACCCTGGCCTGATGCCATGGGATGGTGTATTGTAGAGACATCCTGTATTAACGTGTTTGCCAGGAAGAGTCAGTGCCTCATGAGTCACACTTGCGAGGCAACAAGAAGAAAATAAAGCAAATAATTTTCTTTTCAGAATTGTTAGATGCTCCCTAAAGCCAAGATTATCGCTCACGTTTCCAACTTTTCCTTCCATGATCAGTATGTACACAGTCCTTTTATTCGCCTTGGACACTTCATTTGGTTCATTTTTAAATGAGATGAAAATGGAATTTGCTCCCAGACTTTGGTTTATGTATCAAATACCATGTAAATTCAGGTACGAGCACAAACTCCATTTTAATTTTCTCCTTTTGTGAAAAGGATGTATAAAGGTTTTGAAAACGCGTCCTTGGAGCTTTTCTATTTCTGTCTTTTACTGTTACTACAGAGCTGTTCATTGTTCATTATGTAGTGGAAATTCACATTTTGAGCATCGTGATGCCTGTTTCACCAAATACTGTAATATGGGTCATAAAACTGTACAGTATTATTATTATGCCAAATTTAATGGTAACTTTAGCCAAAATCTCCTAGCAGTAGGAATTGCTAAATGTGTATAAGCAGTTTGAGGTTTATGAGACAAAAATACTTGCACTTGTGTTTGTGCTTAAGGAAACAGACTTCTCCCAACATTTTAAAATAGTTTAATATCAGTGTATTTCTAATTTCCTCTAATTTCAGAGCAATTTACTGATCTGGCAACTGGAGATATGTTAGAACTGATTTATAAATCTAGTAAAAACCTAATAAAACTTTTAAAACTGGCTCACACATCTGCAGGCAAATGTGGGTGTTAGGTAAGCCTTGCCATTGCATCTCTCATGTGCTCCATATTTTGATGTAAACTATTCTATTGTTCCATGTGCCAAAGAAGGAAAAAAATGATATTCATTTTAGTGGTCATCTTTTTGTATTTGATGGATATTTGGGGGAAAGTAGCGTATGGTGTTTTTACATATGTTCTCTCTGTTATTCCATAATGCGTCAAGTATTTTAGTGACTTACAGCACCTACTAGCTAATCAGCAAGTTGAAAGCTTATTGAAGAAAACTTCAAATTTGTGTGCTCAACTTTGCAAAAACAGGGTGTTGGGTAAGTGGTCAAGTTCTACTGTGCTTTACAGAGGGGATGGTTTTAGAGAACCGCTGGATTTTCCTAGAAGAGTTCGAGTGTCTTTTGTATCCTTCTCATGAAAAACCTTTTTAAATTTAACGCTAGCTTTGTGATCTATGGTAAAAGAGGAATGTTGTGTTGGCAAATGCTTTTGTTTCAGTTTTTAATGCAAAAGTTACCCGTATCTAGTAGTTTTCCTGTATTTCCAGGGAGAGGAGGTTTGTATTTAGATTGTGAGTTAACAGAATACCTGCAAAAATTACAGTTTTAGATAGATGCTTATCTTGATCTGCTATTACTTTCTGATTTACATTTTTCTGGGTTTCAGACTGCAGATGGCATAACCATTAGCATGTCTTATGCAAAACAGAAGGAGAAAAACATCCCATCTGACAAGCTTGAGTACCAATTGTAGTAGTGATTTTACTTTCACATATAGATGTCCGAATAAATGTATTTGAAACATGTTTATATATGCCATTCATTACACTGATGCACCAATTGAATGGATCCAATCAGTACATACATTGATTAATGACATATTGCAGAATAGCTAAGGAGGGTTTGTGATGAGAGTTGACGATAATGTTAACCGGCATATGATGAGATAACAGCATTTACTTCCTTACTGTGCATCCTGGAAAACATATTGCAGTAGTAGGGTTAAGATTTCTGTAGTACTAGTTTTTGTTTCAGAATATTTTTCTTTTCTGGAGAAGCTGTGATTGTGGTAATCCATGGTGAAACAAGCTGATAGCTTTCACGGATTTCACTCCCTATCACCACCATTTCCATGGTAGGCATAACAGGGAAAATGTTATTGTGGCTCTTAGATCCTGCAGATCATTCTCCTGAGGCAGAAAGTCACTGTCCTTACGGCCACTGAAGAACCTGGTGTCATCTAGCCTGAGTTTTAAAACTGGCAGCTTTATTGTTCTTGTTACACTTACAGTCATGAGCAAGACTTGCGGTTCTTCAACAACTGTGCAGAGCACAAGCGTAACCCAAAGGTAAATGCTGTCAATTTGCTGCCACTGGTGGGTGTTCGCGTACAGCGTTGCAATTGTTTCCCTTCCAGGTAGGCAAATCTCGGTGCTTAGACTATTCTGTCCATGATACGCATACTATTGTTGGCTGCATAGTGTAGTGATTTGGACAGCTAGTTGTAATTTTATTTGTTTGCTCTAAGAGCTATGAAAAGCCTGGCTATTTCTATTCCCTGTAACGTCTCTAAAGAAGCAGTTTATTTTCATAAAGTCAGACTTGGAACTTCATCTTGATTAGAATAAATAGATAATTATCTTCAATCCCATAAGTTAATATATCTACAATAAATTGGTTAGTTGGGTTTTCTTTCATGCTAGGAGATTCGTTGTTTCAACATCAGTACTAATGCATTCTGTATGAGGATGGCATGTCAGGAAATCATGACTCCTGGAATCAAAGGGTTAAGCTCAGTGTGTACCAAGCCTGTTGTATAAATATCATGCTGTATGGAGTGTTGAGTTGTTAAGGTAAGCTTTGTTTATTTAGCATGAGCACTTCACTGAAGTGCAATCATTTGATAAAATTTGGGAAAAGTAAGTATACATTTAAGTTTAATTACTTAATGTGTATTACATTAGTGGATAGTATCAGAAGAACCACTTTTTTAAAAACATGAAAAATGCAAAAATTTAGCATGAAAATTTAGCATGAAAAGATATTCATAGTCTCTTTTAACGTACTCTTCATGCTTTACTCTCTCCTAGTTCGGTCATCTCCCTTTGGATCTTCATATGGGTCTGAATTTAAAATTCATTGCACATAATAAATAAGCAAACATATTAATATTGTAACTTTTAGTTACTTTTTTAAACATACATAACGAGCTGTTGAGAGATAAGAAATTGGGAATGTGGGGAAAAAAAAGCAAAACCCACTGCTTCTAAATTATATCCTCTGACGTAATGCACACTGACTGCAACCGTGCATGTGTAATGTCAGTAAAAAAATTCC